CTGGGCTGTGGCGGAGGAGAGGAGGAGGAGACGGAGGACAGGGGGTGGGTGGTTTTTTGGGGGGAGAGTTCTGGGAAATAGGGATTTTTTAGTTTGGGGATTTTTTAGGTTATTTGAGTATTTAAATGGATGACTGAGATTTATTTGAGGAATAGTAAATGGACGGTTAAGATTTCGCAATCTTAGATGGAGTCTAAGGAGTCACGTTACAAAAACATTACCCCATATATATATATATAGAAATATGGAGAATCTTGGTACCAAGTTCTTTCATTGAACTTGGTAGTGAGGTGGCAAGATCTGGCCCCTACATCTTGGGTCCGGATTACCTACAATCTTGATTACGGAGAAATCAAATTCTATAAAATTTTGTTTATTTCAGCAGCCCCAAAATTAAATGCTTTTTAATTAAATTTAATGGTTAATATCTTGGAGAAAATTTTGAAATATGGAGAACCTTGGTACCAAGTTCTTTCATTGAACTTGGTAGTGAGGTGGCAAGATCTGGCCCCTACATCACGCCTCGAAGATGGAGCCTCTTTTTTGAAATAAATGAATAGTAATTGAGGCTCTTTCTTCAAGGTATGATGTAAGGGTCAGATCTTGCCATCTCACTACCAAGTTCAATGAAAGAACTTGGTACCAAGGTTCTCCATATTTCAAAATTTTCTCCAAGATATTAACCATTAAATTTAATTAAAAAGCATTTAATTTTGGGGCTGCTGAAATAAACAAAATTTTATAGAATTTGATTTCTCCGTAATCAAGATTGTAGGTAATCCGGACCCAAGGGAAGGGCTTGAAGAGCTAAATAAAACAAGTGTAGATAGTGCATGACGAATATTAATGAGGAGAAAATAGACTTGATATTTACGCAATGCCAACCTGTGGATCCCATAGATGAATATAGAAATCCATATCTATGTGATTCCATCTTGAGAGGTAGAATCTAATGGCAAGACAGAAATGAGAAAACTGTTTGTAATAGAGGAAATTTCACTGTAGACTGGTTTTTAGTTTTTATTACCTAAATCGACCGTATATGTTTTATTTATCGGAATCGACCCGCGTTTCTCCCACGTCAGCGCCGTGGCGAGAAAGCGGGTCGATTAATTTTAAACGGCCTCGTAAACAGTCAGGGTTGCCAACCCGACTGTTAGTCGATCCGCTACGAGACACTTAACTAATCGGTCGGGGTTGGAACCCCGACCTGCTGCTCATTTCGAATTGGTCAAGGTTCCCAACCCGACCGAATTAGTTAAGTGTCTCGTAGCGGATCGACTAAACAGTCGGGTTGGCAAGCCCGACTGTTTACGAGGCGCGTTTAAAAATTAATCACCCGCTTTCTTGCCACAGCGCTGACATGGCGAGAAAACGCGGTCGATTCGCGTAAATAAAACAGAACACAGTCGATTTAGGTAATAAAAACTAAAAACGGTCTACAGTGAAAATTTCCTCGTTGTAATATAAACCAACTCAAAACATTGATTACATAGGAGATGTATAGTATTTGTTGCTGACTATACAAAAATGACAAACTAATGCTACAAGTTAACAAGGAGTGAAACAATCAGAAACGAAGAACTAATTAGAATGCACAACTTTTATAACGTGAACTTACATACAACTTTGAAGCATACCACTGCCTGCTGTACAATTACATGAATAAAGGACTAAAAAAAATGAATGAACAAAGGAATTACACTTTTAAATCCTACAGATTGAGTTCTTCTTCCATCAGTACCCACAGCAAAGGATCTTTGTCAAAATGAAAATTTTTACACTTCTGTGGATATCCCTATTCACCTTATACTCAAAAAATAAATAAAAAACTAAGCTCCAGTCGATGTGGAAGCGGTACTTGGGTTCTGATGATTGTATTTTTTGAATACTCTTTCTTGATTTTCTTTCCACCAGACTTCTGCCTGCTGCTCACCAAACCTTCTCTTGCTGCTTGCACATTACAAATAAACTGCTTTGAGAAAATTCGTAATAGTAATTTATCTACATAAATACACGAAAACAAGGTCCTAAGGTTGCCACTTGGCAACTTCTTAGAATTCTAGATATTAACATTTGTTTTTTACAATTCAAATAAACAATATGATAATATTGGGAATATGAAAAGTCATCTTTATAGTGTATAAAAGGCCCGCTAAAGAAACTTTTCATTATGTAGAACCTCCAAATAATTTAACCCATGAATTAAATTATACTTTTGTAACCCACCATTAACATATTAATTCTCATACAAACCCATTCAAAATTCTCAATTCATAACATCTCTTTCTCTACTAATTTACTATGAAAATTCACTATTGTCATCTTCATCCTACAATATTTTATACAACCATTAATCTTCGATTTAAGAGTAGAAAAAAACTCTACTGGAACTTCATGAGCATGGGGAAAAAGTATAATTAATTTCTATTTTTTTACTGATAGTATATATGCCCTTTGCATTTAAATTCAGTATATATGCCCTTTGCATGTAAAAAAATTCAAATTCTACTTCCAATTCAATATGAACAGCATGAATTATAAAGACTTGATTAATTATACAAACTTTTAGAGCGAATGAGAATCAATATGAATAGTTCATTAATTCTTTAGCATTATGTATGCCAATATGTGAAAAAAAGTTAAATCATAATTCAACAATATGTTGAGAAAGTTAAAGCTAACTCAAGTTCTATGACTACCAGAAACACTTTTAATAAGAGGAATATATTCACAAAAAGCGGCTGCGTATTATAAATAGACTATAACATATACTAACTCTTTTGTATCTCATTATGTGTATAAGTAAGTTTAACAAATTAAAGCCACATCAACATTCATGCTATAATAAAAGTATCTTAGCATTGATAATATCACATAGCAAAAAAATGGTTGCCTAACTTCTTACATGTTTATCGTAGATTTTTTTATATATTTTGTAAATAATTCATCTTGAAAAAAAATTTCCCGCGCACACTGGTATAAAATAGTATGACATACTAATTTCCTGCACATAAAGATTAGATAATTTAAAAGGAAAAACAAATAAACTGCTTTTTTTCACATATTTAATTTACTATTTCTATTACTTAATTTATTGCTGTGACCAACTCTAAATACTGCTGTCTGACTCTATAGACCTAGAGATTCAGCATTCCCAATGCTAGTTATAGAAGGACTAATGCTCATCACATACATATACATGCTACTTGGAACAAAAAAAGATGAGAAGGGTAACTAAAAGAAACAGAAAAAGTTTGTTACACCTTTGTAGGTTAAATAAATATTTCTAGTTCCACATTTTTTACTGACGAAGCAGTTCCTCTATCACATTCAACAATGGTGTGAAATATCAGCGCATGTGGCATAAAACACAGCGTGCAGAGATACCTGAATCGGCTTTTGAAATCCTGACATCTGGTTCTGAACAAGATATATACCCATGCCTCAAATTGTCAGTCACTTCTACACCACTAGAGCCATTCCTCAATATTCTCTGACCTGTGCCTCCCTTGTGTGTAGCAACAGCTGACTTATCGTTATGCTCTGGTTCTTTCATAATGGATTCAACACCATTTCAGAATTATCAAGGATGAGGAGTTTTGATGCAGATTCCTGATCTTTCAACAATCATCTGCTTGTTCCTTAAGAATGGCTTAAGTAGTCGCCCCCTCTTTTGGACTTCCCAGCAATCCTCTCCTTGTTAACTTTTCTTCTGCAGCTGCTTCCATGCCCAAATACTTTTTTGTTAGACACTCTCCCTCTAGAGAATTAGGATCCAAAAGTTGCTCAAAAGAGTGAGGTGTAGCATCCTTCTACTGAGGACTTGGTCAGTGGTAAAGGGTAAATATTGGTTGAGGGCCAGGTTCAAGCCTCGTAACTAACACAGAAGAAAATAGTTTATCACTTTTTACCTTTAAAATCTATGGTATGCCTAAAATCAACCTCAAATCTTGATATTTGTCAATTTACTTCCAAAATCATCCCAAACACATTAGTTTAGCCCTAAACATAGCTTCTGTTAGATTTCAAAAAGAATCAGGTAAAATTACTATTTTTAACTCGTCTTCTACCTCCCTAAATCTGAAAATTCGAGGAAAAAAAGGGAGAGGCAAAAGCAAGGTTTTAAATATCGGATGTCGGGTTCATGTCGGACGGCTGAAATCCATGTCGGATAGCGGAA